CCTACTAAAAATAAGCCTTATCGGGGAGTTCCACTGGAAGTGGAACCGATCAAGGACTTGGTTTCACTGGATCTATAATGAAACTACCACATCAAGGGATCGGCATGAAACAAAGGTTTCACATGCCATACTAGCCTCAGCTTCTGAACAGGATGAAAGAATTAATTGAGCCGTCAAAGGATCTTTAGCCAAGTGAACAGAAAAATCAGATAGTTGGGGGATGAAAAACTACCCCTAGTTCTCATAGGATTACTTGAAGAAGGCACTTTGTGTCTGAAACCTTGTCTAACACATCTCACTTGGTCAAATAAAAGATACCGCTAAAAAAAATCCATCTACAAGAAATGACTAATTTCAGTCTCTTTTGAATTGATGACAGAAAGAGAAGTGAGACTTCCTGAAATGTGGCCCAAGGATGTGCCAGCAAAATGAGAAGCAATAATTGCTGCAGCAGATTTCTAAGGAACTTTATTAACTGGGAAGCAATGTATTTAGCAGCTGCAAATAAAATTGGCCAAGTGGACAGAAGCTGAAACTGGCATTTGGCAAGGCTAACCTTAGATACCATCAACCTTGGAAGTCGAGCAATGACAGAAAGAATAGACAGTAAAAAGCATTCCTTTTCCCTTCAAATGTGAGAGGCCTGTTATGTGAAAATGCAAATTAACTTGAAGAAACTGGAGCATAGAGGGGTACGTCAAACAACTAACTAACCCCAACACACCCACAAAATGGAGCAAGAAGCTTGTTTTCAGGAAACCGTGGATGGCAGATCTTGAATATGTTTCGTGTTCATGACCTTGACCGGTTACATTTCGTGTTACCCATAACTGGATTTTTTTTTAATGTGGGAAAGGGGAGAGTTTGTTTTCACCTTTTTTCAGATAACCAACCTTTCCTTTGTGATACACCAAGGTGGGAACCCACAGGATTATTCTTCATTCTGGGCACATGGTGATCAAGTTTAGACTAGCTTAGTGTTCATCACCATAAAAACCCAGGTCTTTATTAAATCAATATGATAATCTTGTGGTGGCCATTGACACATGACAATAAGTACCAGGAGATGGATGGGTGTAAGGTCCTAATATGAGACTTTGGCATGGGTGAATTTATCCAGTGTAAGCACGACTGTTTTAACTATCTCTTCATTTGCTAAGAGCTTTTCTGAAAGTTGTTTTAATCTGTTACAACTATAGTATAAGTGCTTCATTGCAGAAGTAACTAAGCTAACTAAACAGCAAAGTAATGAAAGTCAAATAACAAAAATAAGGCCATGAATGATTGCTGTTCTAAGAAGGGCTGGGGTAAAAACGTCTGATTTGATTGGGAGAGCAGAAATAACACCAAATGAATGAATCAGCTGTATTTCACAGGTACAAAAGTGCACTATATGAATACATGTGTTGCATAGTCTCTTCTTTTTCAGTGGCTCAAGCCGCAACATAAGGTGGTTTGTGTTGGTCGAGACTGGTGGCCATGTCTGGGGAGAAGAGATTGAACCCCAGTCTCCATGGGGAGCTGCAGGCAGTTGCAATCCTACAAGTTTTAGTTTAAGGGAGCGGTTGGTAGACCAAATAGGTTTCCATTCTGTCATGCTCTTTCAAGTCTAGGACCAGGCACAGGGGCAGGACATGTTGTGGCCTGAGTCAAAGAGGACCAGCACTTCTGTTTTGTTTTACTCCCTTGTCTTTCTCCTGCTTCCCCGCTCTCTGTGCTCCACCTTCCGCAACCAGATTTGCCTGTACATGTGTAGAGAAACCCTAAATACTTGTAAATTAGCTATGGATGGAAACTCAGTCTCTAAAGATGACAGATCCATTAGGGGGGTGCTTTTCTTGGAAACAGTGTTGCCTTGTGTTTTTGGTCTCATGTGTTCTAGGTTACTTGGCTCTTCAACACTTTGGTGATATTTTTATGTACATGAGACTGCAGCTGCTTTCCCAACATGAGCAAATGCTGAGTTTTGACTGCAGATAACTCTCAAAGGAAGGCCTTGCTTTGTGTGAATATCCTACCCCTCCAGAACTGACAAGGCAGGGAGAGAGAGGGGGACTTCCTTCCCTTCCCCACTGCCTTGTTAGTGAAAGCAGGACAGCTCTGAAAGGGTGTATATGCAGAGCTCCTTGGTCGCAGTGAAGGGTTCTTCTGCCTTGGCCATAACGGTGTTCTGGAGGGACAGCGTCCTTAGAGGCAGGAACCAGCTTGGGTCTGGGACTAGACCCGGGTCTCTTGGAGCCCTTGACCATGTGCCTTCCAAAAAATTCCTCATTTGGCTTTGCCAGACAGTCGCGGTTTGGGTTGGTTCCAGCTGGGATGAGGAATGGCTTTCGCTGCAGGGGGGAATGGCTTTCGCAGCCAGCCTTGTCCCTTCTGCATCTCCCCTTGCTATTTCTGGAGTCTTGTATCTGCCCTTGGCAGCACTTCAGGCCAAACGAAGCCCTGAGCATCATGCCTGCAGGTCTTTCCCTGGCAGTGCATCTACTGCGCTCACCTGCT